GAGATATTGTAAATAATAGACGAATTTTTTTTTTTTTTTTTTTCAAAAGTAGTGATCATTTTCCAAGGCCTTTTTTAAAAACGATGCTTTTAAATCGCTGGAAAGCGACGATAAAATCGTGCGTTCAGCAAAAATGTAAGCCGATGAGAAATCAAAGATGCCATGTCAATGATAATTGGATATGTACTATATATGTAAATTGTGATACAGGTGATAAAAATTGGAAAAGCGTCAACATTACAAATGCAAAATGTTGCGCGTTACACACATAAATACACATAGACAGAGGGTGTTTTAGATAGTGAAAAAAAGATCATATGAGATGAATAGATGTGGACATCCCTAACAGCACATGATATATCATTCGAATATTCTATACTCATACTATAAATATACGTTACAGATGTAATATACTGAGAATGATTCCATAACATATCTTATTGTATATTATTTTTCATATATTCTCAGAATATACTTTGAATACTTCGTATTAGTATATTCGTTCTCGTTTATTTTCAGAATATTCTATAATATTGCATATGTTTCCTCAGTTTCTTCTTTTTTCTTTTTAGTCAGTTTAATTTATAATAAACTGGCTTAATTTAAAATTTGTTTAGTAATTTAGTTGTTCTGGATTCCTGGTTGGGATTCAGAATATTAAAAAAATTATTTGAAATTAAAATGAGAAATAGTGTGTGCGTTTACGGCATTTATCAAAAGTATTTATATTACATGTATGAATTATACTACAAGATATTCTTAGTATTTACTATTAACCAAAATAGGCGGAAATTAGAGCAGTCTTAGTATATACTTAATATATCATAGTATGTATCTCGAATGTTCTGAGAATATATGCATTGTACTTTTGCGATATTCTTCAAACATTCTCAGTATCTACATGTGCTATTAGGGATGTTTCTTTTTTTAATTAAAAATTTTGTTTAGAGTTATAAGTACATTCTATTAGAAGTAAATAATATATACTATTTATAATTCAAAAAATCAAGTTGTAAAGAAGTGTTTCGCCGAAAAATCAGTATCGTAATAAACAAAAAAAAAATATAACTCGAAAAGGAAGCGTTTTCAGATCCATATTCATATGACTTTTTTTCATCATTATGGTAAGTACAATAGCTCTTAAAATTTGGCCACCTATTTCTGAAACATCCTCTGTGTATATATAGATAAAAACATTATCACTATCATCAGGCCTAATATACTTAAAGTTATACGTGTACTTGTTGTTGTTACCGATTCTTATACATATATCCGAACATTAACGGAATGTTTCGTTCGGCGATTTTCGATATTACGATCGACGATTATATCATTGAAATGTAAGAGAGCAAAAGGACAGAGGAAAGGGAAGATCTACATTTTCTCAAGAAATAGACTGTTGTTAGTCTTCGTAAACGATGGTTGAAAATTATTAGCGTTTTTACGTAGAATAGAATGAAAGAACTTTGAGAGAAAAAAAGGTCATACGACGGCCTTAACGGGCAAGATCGAAATTTTTCACACGTGTGTCAATCAAATGTACGCAGATGTATGCAGCAAGCCATCGTAAGATTTATTTATATTGTCTCACAAAATTATCTTAGCATCGTTTTAAGATAACATAAAAGTATAAAAATATCCTGGTAAAAGTAATTTTACAATTTACGAAAAATTAAAATTTTCAACAATAAATCACAACTTTCTTTAAATTTGTGAAAATTCAATGATAAGTTGTAAGTTTGTAGCGATTTGTAAAACTATTTATAAATTTGTAAAACTATTTATAAATTTTTGCAAATTTCTATAACTTTTTAGCAGACACTTTTTACAAGCATGTAGTAAACCATTAAGTTGTAGATTATCCTTAAAAAAAATTAAATGTAGTTAATAAATATGAAATATAATTGTAAAAAATTATAATTTCTATGTAAATTTATGAAAAACTGAAAACATTACTCAAATCACGTAGTTTAACGTAAAATTATGTAGAAATACTTTTCAAAAAGTGTAATTACATGGTAAAAAGTTGTAATATTTTTTGCACAATTTTCAAATAAAAAGTAAAATTATTTTTATCAGGATATATGTACATTATACATATACATACATACATACATATATATATATATATACACACACACACACAGGGTGTTCCATTTTAAAAAACGCACTTCGATAATTCTTCAACAAAGCATATTCAGCAAAAATGTTTTAAACAAAAATTGTATGGTTTCAAGGGGGACATAAGATGGTGTCATTAATTTGACCTTTAATAGTTACTTGAAAGTCACCTTCAATTTTTGAAACGGGACTGCCTACTTTTTATTGCCTATTCTTGCAGATTACCTTGAGAGCTTTCCAAAACACTATAATTAAGTTAGTTTTCATTAAGTACTTTCTGAATTATGAGGCTTGAAATTATTTTTAATTTTACATAAACCGTAAAATATCTTGTATAATATTTATTTTTCGATTATTTTACCTTAATACTTTTATGTACAAAATAATGAGAGGAATCAATTGATGCATGGAGAAGCAATTGGTGTAAAGAAAACACAGAGTTGTTTCGAAGAAAAAATATGTAATTGTTAGTTGCAAATTACATATTTTTTCTTAAAAATAACTATGTGTTTTTTTTACACCAATTGATTCCTCTCATTATTTTCTACATAAAAATATTAAGATAAAATAACCGAAAAATGAATATTTTACAAGATATTTTACGGTTTATGTAAAATTAAGAAATGATTTCAAGCCTTATAACTCAAAAGTACTTGAGGGAAAAATATTTTATTAAAGTGTTTTGGAAAGCCCTCGAGATAAGCTACGAGAATATGCAATAAAAAATAGGAAGTTTCATTTAAGAAATTGACGATGATCTTCACGTGACCTTCAAATGACTCTCCAAAGTCAAAACATTGCCACCATCTGATAGCTCTCTTGAAACTATACAACTTTTGTCTGAAACATTTTTGAAAATGCTTCGTTGAAGAATTATCGAGGTGCGTTTTTTTAATGGGTCACCCTGTATATATACAGGGTGGACCAATAACTCTGTCCACCTGGAATATCTCCGTTATTTTTAGAGATACAAAAATTTTGTACTTATAAAAGTTGTACGGTACCAAGAGGGCCGTAATATTACTAATAATTTTTTTGTAGGTGGAGGCGCTTCAGAGATTTCAAGATCATCTCCATTTTTTAAAATGAAATCCCCCATTTTTAATTACATATTCTTATAGCTTATCTCGAGAGCTTTCCAAAACACTATAATAAGAACACTATAATAAGAAAACATACAGTTATTTTTAAGAAAAAATATGAAATTGTTAATTGGAAATTACACTTTTTTTTAAAAACAACTATTTTTTCTTTACACCAATTGATTTCTCTCATTATTTTGTATATAAAAGTATTAAGGTAAGATAATAAAAAAAATGAATATTTTACTAGATATTTTATGGTTTATGTAAAATTAAGAAATGACTTCAACCCTCATAACTCAAAAAGTACTCAATGAAGAAATACTTTATTATAGTGTTTTGGAAAGCTCTCGAGATAAGCTATAAGAATAGGTAATAAAAAATGTGGGATTCCATTTAAAAAAATGGAGATGATCTTGAAATCTCTGAAGCGCCTCCATCTACAAAAAAATTATTAGTAGCATATTACGGCCCTCTTGGTACTGTACAACTTTTATTCGTATAAAATTTTTGTATCTCTAAAAATAACGGAGATATTCCTGGTGGACAGAATTATTGGTCCACCCATATATATATATATATATATATATATATATATATATATATATATATATATATATATATACTGTATATATACATATATATGTGTATATATATATATATATATATATATACATATATATGTATATATACAGCGTGTCCCATTTTAAAAAAACTTATATATATATATATATATATATATAATATATTATATATATATATATATATATATATATATATATATATATATAATGTTTGAACGATCTCTGGTACATTAACAAAAATCAGAATTTCTTCTCAAAATATTTTTATCCTCAATTTTTTTGTTATTTCTATTTTGATCCTTCAGGCATTTTAATCCTTAAAGGCAATCGTGAAAGATATCATCTTGTCCGTTCAATTGTATCGCCGTGATTCATCGATAGCTTTTTTGTCACCAAAGTTACATTCATAGTGTTTAAAGCAAATAAATGCATTTAATACGATTGTCATTGAAATCGTAATTCCTAATATTGTAATTGTGATAAAACTGTTTTATTGTTTCTTTTTTAATTTAATTTGCAATTTGTTCGGATTTTTTGTAATAAATAATGTTCATAAATAATATAAATGATGAATATGATAAATAGAAAAATTGAATAAAAGCAGACCGATTTTAAAATGCGTGCATAAAGATAATTCAATAAAATTAAAGTACAATTTACAATACATTATTAATTTAATAATTATGAAATATTATCACAGATTGTTATCAAAAAAGGCGAACACATATTCATAAATAGATTATTTTGAAATTTATTATTAAATTATATAATTGTTTAATTTATGTACAGATATTACTTTTTGAAAATTTAATATAGAACACAGGAAAGAGAAAGCATAAATGGAAATATATGAATAAGCTATGAATGTAGCTAAACAGCTATTTGAGAAATAAATGTACTTACTGTGTTCTTTTTATCCAATTTCTTTATTATCTCGATTTGCTGCTCCAAATAATTGTTAACCGAGATGGATTACCATAATCCATGTTAATTAAATTATCATTATCGACTATTGTATTTTAAATAGCTATTTCACAAACTATTATTGTGCTAATATTAAAATGACTTTATCGGCCAATTACTCAATGTCTTTTGTTCTATTCGAATATCCCTATAAAATTTTTTAAATTATAAACTATGTTGTGACTTCGTCTTTTTAATTTTAGATGCACTCATGAATTAATAAGAATTAAGATCTTATTTAATAAATTATGCGTACACTCTTGATATGATAGTTTTACAGAAGTCATAATTCTGATCATATTAATGTGATTTAATGACAAGAATATATTTTACAAAACAGCGAATATAGCTCAATCATAAGTATTATTTATTTCTTTTTTCACAGTGATATCGAGTATATTATCGATCATATTTTCAGATTATTGAGATTATCTTTAAGATATCTTGAGATTATTTCAGAAAGCTATAAAATTATTGTTATTCATTTTCTTCTGGCTAACTTCTATAAAAAGTACATTTTTTTACGCTTCGAGATAACATATATTGAAAGAGATATTTTCAAAAAATTATCTCATTATTTCTTTTATAATTGCACGAATGACTTAATCAAAATACTTAGTTATCTTTTTTTTTTATCCGAAGAAATGTACATCAATATATAGATACATGATTTGTCAAATTTACATGAACTATCATTAAAAGCATTCATTATCTCAATGATAAAAAAATGTAGAAATAATAATGATTATTATTATTGGAAGATTGATTATACAGCATAAAATGAGAGTTTTAAATATATTGATATCTTTTCTCTGCTCTCTCTATCATGCATTTGCATAAAAAACTTCCTTAATAAAATCTATTATAATCGAAAATGCATAAATTGTATATACTTGAATAAACATGTCTGTATGTTATTTGTAACCAAATGTTACGAAAAAGTATAAGATCTTAAAACAATGCACTAAGATAATGAGCACTCTTTACACAAGTTTCAAATTTTTAAACAATAAGTTCATACAAGAATCACTCCGTGCCACTATTGTCTTCTGTATATTTATCATTTTTTACTTCTATTCTTAATGGAGAACGTCCTCTGGTATGATTTCCGATACGTGATCGCAAATCGCCGCTTTTCAAGGTATTTCTCAAGTCGCGGTTGCTTGATCGTCTTCAAAACAGAGAAAAACAACTTTCATAAATTAATTATATAAAGTTAATATACACTTAATTAGAAGATTAAAAATAAAGATGATCTCTCTCCCCCCCCCTCTCTCTCTATATATAGGGTGTCCAAGATCACCCGTATATTCCTTTTAAAATGAAAATAAATGGCTTTTATCAAAAATCGCGAACAATTTTTAAAGTAAACCGGGTACGCTCTATCAAATGGTGATATTTTCAACTTTTAATTCCGACGGAAAATATGCCATCTGAATCAGAAGTTGATTTTTTTTTAGGGGAACAAATCTTAAAATTGATCTTGAAAGTAACTGTGATAAACTAACAGAGGCACTTTTAGAAAAAACGTTTAATACAAAAGTTTCTTATTTTTTCACGTACAATTCGAATGTAATAAAAAGTACCATGTTCCCTTAAAAAAATTCAACTTCCGATCCAGATGGCGTATTTCCGGTCGGAATCAAAAGTTGAAAATATCACTATTTGATAGAGCGATTTACTTCAAAATTGTTCGCAATTTTTGATAAAAGCCATTTATTTTTATTTTAAAAGGAGTATACGGGTGATCTGGAACACCCTGTATATACATACAGGATGTCCCAAAAGTCCCGGACCGATCGAATATTTCATGAACTATGCACTTTAGAAAGAAATGTTTCAGGCAAAAGTTGTATGGCTTGAAGGGGGCCATCAGATAGTGGCAATGATTTGACCTTGGAGAGTCCTAAAAAGGTTACCTTCAATTTCTTAAATGGAATCCTCTATTTTTTATTACATATTCATGTAGCTTATCTCGAGAGCTTTCCAAAACACTATAATAAAGTATTTCTTCATTGAGTACTTTTCGAGTTATGAGGCTTGAAATCATTTCTTAATTTTGCATAAACCATAAAATATCTAGTAAAATATTCATTTTTCGATTAATACTTTTATGTACAAAATAATGAGAGGAATCAATTGGTATAAAGAAAACACATAGTTGTTTTAAAAAAAAATATTAATTGTTAAAGTAATTGTTAATTGCAAATTACATATTTTTTTCTTAAAAACAACTATGTTTTTTCTTTACCAATTGATTCCTCACATTATTTTGTACATAAAAGTATTAAGATAAAATAATCGAAAAATGAATATTTTATAAGATATTTTACGGTTTATGTAAAATTAAGAAATGATTTCAAGCCTCATAATTCGGAAAGTACTTAATGAAAATTAACTTAATTATAGTGTTTTGGAAAGCTCTCGAGATAAGCTACACGAATATGTAATAAAAAATAAGACGTTTCATTTAAGAAATTGACGGTGATTTTCATGTGACTTTCAAATGATTCTCCCATGTCAAATCATTGCTACTATCTGACGGCCCCCTTCAAGCCATACAACTTTTGTCTGAAACATTTCTTTCTAAAGTACATAGTTTATGAAATATTCGACCAGTCTGAGACTTTTGGGACACCCTGTATACATACATACATACATACATATGCATACATACATACACAGCACACATACATACATTTTAATAAAATTATACAAAGTTACCAGAATATTTGAAACAAAGACAAGAAGAAAATGAAGAAAAGACGTAAAATATGCATGAAATATGAAAAATAATTATAATCATAATATGATAAATAATTATAATCATAATATGATAAAAAATTCTTTTACCTGTTTTTCAAATAGCTATCACTCGTGTCGCTTTTTGTGTGATTTAATCTTGCCCATACAGTGGAAGCAATGCGTGGCTTGGGTGGAACTACTTTTATCACGCTTCCTTTAGGACCCTGAACCTCTTTTGCAAGTACATTGCTATCTCCATCACTATCCTCTTCATCTTCCTTATGTTCACCTTCTTCCTCCTCCTCCTCTTCTTCTCCTCTCTCTTCTTCTTCCATCAATGCATACTGTCCATAATTTTGCTCTTTCTTGCCTTCTTCTACCTGATTATCTTCATCTTCCGATTCCTGCCATTCTCCTTCTTCTTTTTCTGATAATTGTGTCTCTTTCTGGTAATTTTGCTGGATTACCCCTGAATTATCATGTTTTGATTTCGCTAGATTTGTGTTTGTAACTACTACTTGAATGGGATCACGAAACTGCGTTTTCGTTTTTGGTCTCCTTAATTTCGATCGTAAATCACCACTGTTATTTAAATTGTTGAGAACCATCTGAAGGAGAGAATAATCGTGTTCATGGAACAAAGTAAAAGAAAAAATTTCTTTCAATAAAAAAAAAAATAATTAATAAAATAACTAACTTGATATCGAAGCTTCGCTCGTCGTTTTTGTAATTTTTCCTCCTCATCGTCGGCATGCATTCGCATACGGGGAATTTTACTCCGCTTACACCAATTTTCGTCACTATCGCTACCAGAACTAGTCTCTCTCAAGTCTTCCGTTTGTATTACATCTTTATCTCTGCATTTGATACCCAATCTCTCCTTTATACCACGTACTTGATCTTTAATGCCGTTCTTTGGAAGAAAGTCTTCCTCCACAATGTCATTCAATCCCCATGTCTCGGATAATGCGCCCCACGGATTTTTCGTTTGATTTTGATCTTCATCTTCTCTTGATAATATATGTTTATTTTGTTGGATCTGCTTGTACATACGTTTACGGGACTCTGTTAGAATTCCTTTAACACCTGAGAATGTTCATATAAAAATAAAACCATTCTATAATTTTTGCTCTTACCGACTTAATTACTTAATTGTTACATGTACATGCGCAGAACTGCATACAAGTTTACCTCCAAAGTTGGGATTTCCATACTTTTTGTAGTATTCGCTCTTCTTTTCTGCATTGGCAGACTTTTTATCCATCCTAGTAGCAAATCTTAGAAAAATTCCTTTAGATTTTGGATAATCTGCTCCTTTCCTCCATATACCTGGAGGTAATGGATAATCAATGTCTTTAATGTTTATGCAATTCTCTTTCTTTGTATCCTTATCTATATCAACAGATTCATTTTTTTCATGTACTATCACTTCACAGTCTTTCCTATTTTCGGAATCGTTCTCTCGATCTGAACTTTTTGCCACATTACCTACAATTTTTTTGGATAATGCTAGCATAGCTCTGGCTGCCGATAAATTGTCGAACCAGACTACATTGCCTGTAATATGAATAATGAATTATATACCAAATAAATATCAGTCACAAATAATACATCATGACAAGTGTTTCTTAAACAAAATCAAATTTTAAAGCATACACGAAACATCATTAATCCATTCAATAGACATTGGAGCATAATCTTGGAAATATTTAAACACATCTTTGGTACTCATTTCTTCAGTTCCTCTCATATGGATTACATTTAATCTGGTATTTTTTGCATTCTCACTATCATCCGTGATACCCATGCTGCAACATAATATATATGATATTTTTTTTCAAAATCAAACTATATATTTTTTTACCTGCTATATAAATTCTCTTCTCGATTCGGCAATTTTTGGACTGTCTCCAATAAGCCAAAACGCTTCGCTCGTTCTTCCATCTTCAATTTTTCCTCTTTACTGAATATATCTATACCCGTTGTAAATGTATTTGTGGATTTTTGATAGTGGCTGTCTAATGTTTGCATTTGAGTCTATTTAGATAAAATAGTTTGTATTTACCGCGTCTTTTTATAACGGTATTGATTAACAATGGTAAGATTAATATAATTTTTCTTACCCGCAATTCTGTTGTTGAAGTAGTTGTTCTGATTTTATCTATTTCCTCAATAGGCACCATCTCAACGTCCGAAGATTCCTCATATTCATCCATTGCACAAATACAACGAATGCGCTAGGCGTTTAAATATTATTTAAAAAAGCGAGTGATTTTCGTAATAGTTCAATCGTTATACGAATAACTGCTTACTAAATATTAAACAAAATTAATAGGTTACACTTTATAAATAAGACAACTACAGAGCGGCAGACATTTGCTGTCAGGACCACCAAACTTCCATGTTTAGAGTACGTTCCAAAAGTTAACTTTCGAAAATTATTTTTCTAGTTATAAAGTTGGTAAGGCTGGGTCTACAATAGGTAATTTAAGCCTTAAGAGATTGACCAATCACAGTCAAGTATGAAAAGAATACTCTACTGTGATTGGTTAATTTCTTAAGGCTTAGGCCCAGTTCCACAATCCAGTTAATCCGAGTTTTAGTAGTGAATGGACCAATCAGGATCCAGTTTAACGTATTAAACTCGGATCATGGACGTAAGAAATACAGGACAGTGTATTGCTGCGAGCACAGACTTCTATAATACACTAGACTGCTAGGCTCGTTATATATTCCCCACCTAACGTGTACCCCGAAAGTATGTACACATAGGCACCCAAAGGCGGCAGACTGAGTTACCGATTGGAATGTGACTAATATTTTATAGTCCTACGACTATGGATTACTGAATGAGATATGTGATATATATACTATATATCGTCGTTGTTCCGTTTATGTATGTATAAATTAAACAGGCAAAATAAATTAAAGTGCATACACATGGACGTAAGAAATACTGGACAGAGTGTATTGCTGCGGGGATGAAGCTCAAAGGGTGAGGGGAAAGAAATGTCTACTGCAACGGAATATGAGGCATGTAAGATGGCGACGGATATTAATTTCACGGAGTGTGATATTTTTGAATTTCTTAATATTCAAAAATGATTCGGAATAACACAGCGATTTCAGATGATAGATGATTTCACGGAATCTCTCATATTTTATTTGATTTACGTCCGTGCGACGTGAAAATAGACGCTAAATCTGATGCATCTAAGATGGCCGCGATAATAAACCCCTTACCCCTCAGATTTCACTCCCCTCGTCTAAAAGAGTACTTTATGCTCTGTCCAGTATTTCTTACGTCCATGTGCATACATAGTATATATAGATATATATATATATATATATATATAGATATATCCATAATGACAATAAGATGCGTGGTGCAAGGATGCACAAATATATATAAGAAAGGATGTGGTATACATTTTTTAATATATTGTATTAATATTGTATTAATTATTATAACATTTTTAAAAACATGTGCTGATTGTTGTGCACAACGTTTTTTATGAAAAATAAAACTAAAAAAAATGATATAACCTAACCTAACCTCAAGTGCATTTTTATATAAAATAACCTAATATTAATAATATTTTTTTATATTATTATCATTTTTTAAATATAAACATTAGAAAAATGTTGACAAATTATAATACAATAATACATTTCACTTGACGATCGATATATATATGTACATAGCAGACGACACATTCCAATCGGTTATTCAGTATGTATAAGATATACATTATGTACTGGTACGTCTAGGGAATCAAGGTTAGCAGTCTAGTATATATATATATATATATATATATATATATATATATATATATATAGAAGTCTGTGACTGCGAGGGTGAAGCTCAAAGGGTGAGGGGAAAGAAATGTCTACTGCAACGGAATATGAGGCATGTAAGATGGCGACGGACATTAATTTCACGGAGTGTGATATTTTTGAATTCCTTAATATTCAGAAATGATTCGGAATAACAGCGATTTCAGATGATAGATGATTTCACGGAATCTCTCATATTTTATTCGATTTACGTCCGTGCGACGTGAAAATAGACACTACATCTGAGACATCTAAGATGGCCGCGACAATAAACGAGACATCTCCGATTAGACACAGTACAATTGGACAAAACTGGCTTTGATTGGCTAATCGTGCTTGATCGTGCTGGTTACCCTAGGCATCGGTCGATATGATTGGCTGTGTCTAATCGTACTGTGTTTAATTGGGCAATCCCCCAATAAACCCCTTACCCCTCAGGTTTTACACCCCTCGTCTAAAAGAGTATTTTATGCTCTCTCCTGTATTTCTTACGTCTATGACTCGGATTAACTCATAGACCTTATAAGTATGGACTGGCAATACGTATCAGACTGTGTCCGGAGGAGGTTAGAGAGAGAAACATCTTTTTGGTACTTCTCTTTCTACAAGTGTCCGGAAATACGTTTTGCGCATGCACCTGACATATACTATACAATAAAACATTCTGATTGATGTATATGTGTATGTGTATATGTATTATTACAGAGAGAACATAATATTGAGGTTGTGTCTCTGAAGTCTTAGAAAGTCTCTGTATTTAATATTAATTTAATTATTTTAATAAAGATTAACAATAATGGTTCGAAGATGTATTGTTTGTGATATAACGTATTCATCAAAAAATAGTATTTCTTTTTACTCGTAAGTATTAATGAAACAAATCGTAATGTCATAAAGTGACATTCTATAAACAGTACAAGAAAGAAAAACATCAAAAATTTCAGTTTTCCAACAAATGAAAAATATAAAAAATTATGGATGGATGTGTGCAATATAAGTGAAATCACGAAAGAAAGCAGAGTATGTTCACGTCACTTCAGTTCATCTCATTTGCAATGGACTAATAGATCTCGAAAAATTTTACAACCAATGCCAAATGCAGTTCCATTATTATTTCTTGGAAAAAGAAAAAAGTATCTAAAAAGGTAATATAAGATATAATAAATATAATATAAAGACGAAAAAAATGTAATATGCAATTTTAATTGCTACAGAAAAGTTATGTTCTATATCTTATTAAAAAATGTTATTAATAATGTTTAGAAAAACTTTTCCAAAAAATTTTGCTTCAATAATATATATTTATTATTTTAGTATACAAAAACAATGTTTGACTGTTTCAAATAATTTATTTCTTGATAAATCATATTATAAACTTAATCTAGCTTATTTAAAACTGACATGCGCAATGCATACTTCCGGACACTTGTAGAAAGAGAAATACTAAAAAGTATGTTTCTCTCTCTAACCTCCTCCGGACACTGCTTCTCTACAGAAACTATAGGCAATTGCCAGTCCATATCTGTAAGGTCTATGGATTAACTCGAGTTGTGGAATCGGGCCTTAGAGCTTAAATTACCTATTGTAGATCGAGACTTAACCGCTAAATAGCAATCGAATGTGATTGGTTTCTACTTTCAATTCCGATCAGCGACTCAAATTGTTGGTCGCATTCAGCGGACTCAACAATTGAGCAATATTACTAGATTTTCCGATGTAATTCGACGCTGATTTGTCGGATCTGAAAGTAGAAACCAATCATGTTTCGATTGTTATTTAGCAGTTGAGGATACGTCCCGATGGAGAAAGAAATAGCGGAACGGAATAGTAACAGAAAAGTAACTATATTATGGCTATACTAACCAATCAGGGATGCGTTCCGTTTTACGCATTGAACACATTATCGCATTAATTAATGTTCCGTTTCCTTCAATGCGGTTTCCATGCGCGCATCAAAAAGCGATATAACGTATAGTTCGCCATATTTTTTCTGCATTAATTTCACTTATGTGCTTCTCATAGACGTCTATATATATAAACTCGACTACTAATTCTTTATGTACAAGGCCACTTGACTTCTTATGTACTAATAGCCATTTCTACCGCCGCTTAACTTTAAATTCATTCTTTGTCTCTTTCTAAAGGAACAGTTAAGTCCCTGGCACACGAAAAAACGTAAGCAATGAAACGTAGTCAGTAAGCAAATTGACCAATCACGATTGAACAGTAAAGCAGCCATATTAAAACGTCGTCTACAATGGCAGTAGGATTAATGAGTTGAAGCTGTAATTCAAGAAATTGACCAATCACAGTCGAGTATTCTCTTAATGACTGTGATTGGTCAATTCCTTAAATTACAGCTTTAATCCATTAATCCTACTGCCATTATAGACGATGCTTAAGAAAACGTAAGAATTCCAATTGGTCAATTTCCTTACTGACTACGTTTCACTGCTTACGTTTTTTTTGTGTGCCAGGGCTCATGAGATACTAGCAAAAGAGACAGACATAGGCCTCCCATGTAGTACTCCTCTCTCTACAACGGGCGCTCGTCTGTCTATCGCAATGCTCAGTCCAGTGTATATGTCGATGTTTGGACACTTTTTGTTAGGCTCCGCCCATCATCCACTCACCCGACTTTTACCCACCAGGTAGAGAATCAGAACACAGCCCAGAAGAAGACAAAGAGTGAGTTAAGTTAAGATTAAAATTAAACGACGTTGGTAGAAACATAAGGCTTATATACTGTCACGTGACTGTCACTCATTTTGTGCATGCGCTTTGACGCATATATAAGCTGTGATATATATACGCGCATGTTTCTATAGTCACGTTACACACATACACACACATATATATATACAGGGTGAGCCATTTTAATTTATCCACCCCAATAACTTTTTTATATTTGAATGTACAACAAAATGTTTTTCAAATAAAAGTTGCTTGACTTCGAGGGGAACAGAAGATGGGTGGCAAAAATTTGACCTTGGATAGTCATTTGAAGGTCACATAAAGGTTACCTTCAATTTCTTAAATAGAACCCCCTATTTTTCATTGCATATTCTTGTAGCTTATCTCGAGAGCTTTCCAAAACACTATAATAAAATATTTTTTCATTGAGTATTTTTCGAGTTATGAGGCTTGAATAATTTCTTAATTCTACATAAATCATAAAATGTCTAGTAAAATATTCATTTTTCGATTATTATTAATAATTATTAATAATTAATAATTATTAATAATGTGAGAAATCGATTGGTGTAAAGAAAACATATAGTTATTTTTAAGAAAAAATATGTTTTGGAAAGCTCTCGAGGTCAGCTGCAAGAATATGTAATAAAAAATAGGTGTCATTTAAAAAAATTGAGTTGACGTTCATGTGACCTTCAAATGATTATCCAAAGTCAAGCCAATGGCACCATCTTATAGCCCCTTCGAAACCATGCAACACATTTATCGATATTTCGCTTAGTTTACGAGAAAATTGACCATATTGTTTAAAATAGGTCACCCTGTATACACACACATACACACACACATATTGTCTAAGACATTTATATATTATTCGAGATAAACAACTTAGGCGTGCCAAGTTTTCATATCTTATTTCGATCTAAAGACCGTTTATGCGTTTAAAATTTGCATTAAATGCGTTTAAAATTTGCATAAAATTTTTTTTTAATTATATATATCATATAAAAAGTGCTTTAGAAATTAAAGGAATCTTAATTCATTTAATATTAATTACAAATTAATAGCATATAATTTATTGAACTTGGCCAGTTGTATTGATTTCAATTCACAGTTCATCTCAACTAACAGTTATTAAAATTTTTGATTTCTATCATTTTTTTAGATTTTTAGATGTTTTCAAGATACTTTTTATATATATTTCGTGTATTTTTTTTATCTTTATGAGAATTTTGAGAAATCATTCATGTCTTAATTCTTATGTTTGACTGCAATTCGGAGTCAATAACTCTAAGTTATAATCCTTTTCGCTCCACTTTTAATTTTTTGCTTTTTTTTATATTTGTAGAAATGGTACCTAATTACATATATATATAATAAATTATATTATCATTATTGCATTATTCATTGATGTTTTATCGAGCTTTATTCGAATGCAAATACGCTATAGAATATGGTATTTTCAAATAATCATTGAGAATAGAAGTGATAGATATAAACGGCGGATAGTAGGAGAACATATATAAAAAGGCCGCGTAATTATTTTGACATATACATAACGCGCTTGACGCGCTTGAATGTGAATCGGTTATCCGAGTGAAGAATTGCGTGCTCGTGTTCATTAAAACGTGTTTCTTCTTTCGACGAGTCTTCATGAGATTTTTTTATATTGGACGATCGATTAAGTCATTCATAGGAATATCATCTTGTATTTCTTGCTAAAATGACGGAGAACGAAATACAAATCGAAATGGTAAGTTATTTCGAACCAAGAAAGTTTTCTTGCATTTTGTTTAAGTATATTCTCATTTATAACATCTCGGTATCATTTTCTCATCTCCTATAATTAGTCATTTTCTCATCTCCTATAATTAGTATAAAATTATGATAAGAATACGTTTAATACATATAGATTATATGCGATATCTTTTGTCAAAAACCGAGAAAGATATTCTTTAACAAAAATATACAATTCATATGTTGTAAATATATTGTTGACAATAATTTCACTGAAAAATTGCAATATTGTAGATTTGTTGTAAAACATTATTGTACAATAAATGTAAAACATTATTGTACAATTATTGTAGGATTGTAGAATATTAAAATTTGCTTTTAGAAAAATTGCAATAAACAATTAATTATCTTTTAAAATAATATGCCATTTAATCGATTTTGTTGTAAGAAATTTTTGAAATATTAATTTGTGAAATATTATTTGAATTGATATGCACAAATTTTCATTTCATTATCCGTTTATTCATGATAAAATTATTAATTATGCGCCAAACATTTTATAAATCTTTCCAGAAATTTTAAAGAAATTTAACTCGAGATAATTCGAATTTTTTAAAAAAATTAAAAGAAAATCATAAGAGTAAAAAAGTTTTATTTTTTGAACTTTTTTTTTAATCTAAAATCAAAATGTTTGCATAAGAAAGTGTCCAAAAGAAGTTTTAAAAAACTCCAAAGGAAATTCGAGAAAACTTGAAAGTATTTTTTTTTAAATCTTTGTATCGATTTTTAAGTACTATATTTTTCAATTTCATATCAATTCGGAGAAAATCTATGTACTCCATTGATCATGAATATCATATATTACACACACACACACAATATATATATATATATATATATATATATATATATATATATAGTGTGTGTGTGTGTGTATATTATATATGTTAAAAATATTTGGTCCAATGCAATTAAATGAATCATAAAATAATTAAATTTAAATAGTTGCATTTGTAAAATTTATGCTTATATATGTATATATATATATATATATATATATATATATATATATAAATTAAGTATTATTTTAAATAAATAATAAACGAATGATAGTCATTTGACTATTTATGTCCCATTCTAAACAATCAGTTTAGTTTAAATATGAATTCCTTGTGTTGAATTTCTTTGTGTTCAAGTGTATCAGAAAAACTTAATAAAAATATTTATTTTCATCTTTAATTTTATTAACGTACACTTTTTGTAAGTTTTACATAGTTCTCACTAAGAAGTATTGCACACAAATTGACTTAGCTACATAGGATAAAACCATCTAAATCAATGAATATCAATCAAGTTAAATGAATTCTTATTTAGTTGAATTAATGCTCATTGGTACAGTCAATCTTATGCTATATATATATATATATATATATATATATATATATATATATAGCATAAGATATATATGCGATATATATATATATATATATATATATATATATATATATGTCAATTTGTATGAGATAGCCAAACATAAATACGAGATAGATAACGCATAGCACGTTGTATAATAATAAATAACAATGAATAACAAGTTTTTTCGATTGTCATTATTTAGAAGTAAGAATCTGCACCAACATGCAAAACGAACCCAAATATGCAAATGAATGACCAAAATGACTATTTTGTTATTAGGAAATAATAGGGGAAAATAAAGCAGTCTAAATATCAAGTTTAATAATATGTTAATGATACATAAACATATTACAAAATATAAATAATATATTAACATACAGAATACATTATTTTAATTGACACATTTAAATTTTTCCGAAACAAAGTGAGATATGCAAATATGATTTTTATAATATTATTATGATTCCGAAGGAAATATCTATTTATTAAGAACATTTTTTCTTTCTAAGTGGAGGCATCAATATTATAAGTTGGATAAGTTTATATAAAAGTCACACTGTTATTGTTTTAAATAGAATCATAGTTTTTAAACATTTATGTATATAATTCTTGTTATGAGAAATTTAAGAATCTATGATTTAAGATCATGTTGCAAAATATTCCATTTTAACTTGAGCTAGCAAATATCTCAAGAACTAAGTATAATAAAAATTCATTTCAAACAATAGTTAAAAAATTTCAGAATATCGATGTTTGTTTACTCTTATAAAGATGACTATTATAAAATTTCTTAATGAAAATTTCCATTTCTCATTACAAATTATTGTAATTTATCAAAATAGTATAATTGAACTATTTTTCGTTAAAGAACTTCTTGAATTATGACTTATGAAAGTTATAGTAATTTCGACATTAACATTAGCCAAGCTATCAAATAAAAATTTACATGTATATGTAAACAGTAAAATTCAATATTGTATATAAATATTAAAAAATTTTATTTTTATTCTTACATTATCAAACATTAGTGTTTATAAAAATGCAGAACTGCAGTATAATTTTTGCATCACTATAATGAATCTAATTGAATCGGTACACGATAATATTTCAGTTGTTATCCCAATACTAATTCTAAAACAAACAACAGACTAAGTCTTTATGTAGTCTTTAAATCTCGCGTATAAGCATTGGAATATTCCTAATAAGTTGTTAATAATTACATTCGAGATAGTATCGTATAATTTTATTGTCGCCGTGTGTTTAGCGTATTTAGAGTCAAAAATATGATAATTTTTTCTCTAATTTAGATCTTGATGTGAACATTGTTATCAACGTTAATACAAGAGAAAATTAGGTATAATTCTACATAGTTATGTGAATATGCAAGATAGAATAGATCTTTATTAATTTTGATCTTTTGGGGTATCAGCGGAAAATTCTTGGAAAACTACAATTAAGGGATTTTCTTTTTACAATATAAAAAGTTAAATAAGAATGTACTTGCATGAATGTAATTGCACACATAAAGTTGTTTGAATTTATATACATTTTTATGTGATTTGTTTATTATGATAAAAAAATAAAGAGATATAATATAAATATTCATAAAAATACATATAAAAAGATATGAAAATTAATGTGTCCTAAATTTAAGGAAACTTTATAGTATGAAAGATGCAGTTTATTTTAATTAATATTTACACCGTTTAGGTGACAGCCAGTCTGCTAAGATCACAATTTGCATAGTGCAAATTATGTCGGTAGAATTCCGATACAAGCCGTGTATGATCTACTGTCTCAGTTAGTACCAGCAAAAGAAGTAGTAGTAATATGATTAGCATGATATATATGCACATGCATGAGATATATATATACAGCGTGTGTCAAAAGTTCCGGGACGGCTGGATAATTTGAAAAATACGCATCACAGAGGAAAATGACCTAGACAAAAGTTGTAGGATTTTTCCCGGGCAATCCGACGGTGACCTTAGATTTGACCTTGGATAGTCATTTGAAGGTCACATAAAGATTACCTTCAATTTCTTAAATGGAACTCCCTATTTTTCATTGCATATTCTTGTAGCTTATCTCGAGAGCTTTCCAAAACACTATAATTAAGTACCTTTTTATTAAGTACTTTTTGAGTTATAAGGCTTGAAATAATTTCTTAATTTTACATAAACCATAAAATATCTAGTAAACCATTCATTTTTCGATTATCTTACCTTCATACTTTTATGTACAAAATAATGAGAGGAATCAATTGGTGTAAAGAAAACATACAGTTGTTTTTAAGAAAAAATATGGAATTGTTAATTGCAAATTACATATTTTTTCTTAGAAACAACTATGTGTTTTCTTTACACCAATTGATTCCTCTCATTATTTTGTACATAAAAGTATGAAGATAAGATAATCGAAAAATGAATGGTTTACTAGATATTTTATGGTTTATGTAAAATTAAGAAATTATTTCAAGCCTTATAACTCAAAAAGTACTTAATAAAAAGGTACTTAATTATAGTGTTTTGGAAAGCTCTCGAGATAAGCTACAAGAATATGCAATGAAAAATAGGGGGTTCCATTTAAGAAATTGAAGGTAATCTTTATGTGACCTTCAAATGACTATCCAAGGTCAAATCTAAGGTCACCGTCGGATTGCCCGGGAAAAATCCTACAACTTTTGTCTAGGTCATTTTCCTCTGTGATGCGTATTTTTCAAATTATCCAGCCGTCCCGGAACTTTTGACACACGCTGTATATATATATATATATATATATATATATATATATGTATGTATGTATATATACATATATATATATACATATATACATATAACACATTTATACACAAGTAACACATATTCATTTCGAAAATGTTTCACAAATGTTTCTTCAAAATGTTTCATAATCGACTTTTGAAAACGTTTCTGATTAGTTAAAATGTCGACTTCAAAAACTTTGAGAGATACGTTTCTTTTTTGATAAAAAAACGTTTAAAAAATGTTTAAAACACATTTAAAATATGTTTTTCCTGTTATTCGTTAAACGTTTATTTTATAATGCAATTAATAAAATAATGCAATAACACACTCTCTGAATCAGTATATTATCAGTGAAAACAGTAAATAGAGTCACTGATACAGCAGTTATAAGTTATTACAGCATTGTAAAAGTCAATAACATTTCACTAAAAGAATTAGTAATATTGACTGTTTTAATAAGTAATATTAGATTATAATTTATCTAATGAACGGATCATTTTCGTTTATTAGCCGGATATTTATTTGTTCCGACTTATAAAATCGATTTAATGTGTGAAATTCTCTTATTGTATCAGAAATTAAATCTAAGTAATACTTCTAATTTTATCTGTCGCCTTTTGCAAGCTTTATATAATTCTCATGACTAAAACTTAAATACGAAAAAAATAGCGCACTGTAGCGGTAAATGAACGGACTAGAGATTACTGATTTTACTTCCACCGACTATAATTAATGAAATATAAGATATAAAGTATAAAATATGAGATATAAAGTAACAAAAAAATAAGCGTTTCTACTGAAGATTAATGAAATACTGATTCTTAGTGATTCATAT